CTCAGTGTGTAGCTGTCTATACCTCAACGTTACAAAAGCACGTCCAGTAGATGTCCTACTAGAGCAAATAAAGCTTCAAGAAGCTTTGCGCTGGGGTGAACCAATTGGATGAAAAGCTTCAGTGCTTCATGAAGCTTCATCTGCCCATCACTAGTGATGAAGCTCAGGCTGCTCTTTGTCCTTGCTGCTGAAACCTCTGAGCTGAACGAAGACCTCCAGAGGAACCACCTCTGAAGAGCAGAGACCCAGAAGGAATTTGTGTCAGCTCACTTTCAGTTTCACTAACAAGATCAACGTCATGACTCACGCTGCGTTCACTGAACCAGTGGAGTGTAGGAGTGCTCAGAGGGCGTAACCACACGCAGGCTTCATGCTGACTGAGGAACCAGGGACAAACTGCTTCACTGAACCTCTGCAGAGCAGGTTTTTATGTTAACAATCACAACACAACTTATTGACTTGAAAAGTATGAAATTGTTTTGAACCTGACTAAATGATTTTGTGACTTTTTCAATGAATAACCAAAAGGTGTGCCTGCAATAAGCTGTTTGTCTTTTATCCTTTAAAATGTTATCTTCATTTATTTGTGACTCTAAGAACGTCGAGGTAACAGGAAGATGTTTTATTTGCACTGAAATGAGTTTTACAGTTGTATTCACTGCAGACTGTCAGGATCTGATTTACAGCGTATTTTTTATATTCTGTGTTTGAATGGAGGGATTAAGCTCCTCACTCTGATTGGCTGCTGTAATAGTGAAGTTTACTTTTGACCTCTTTAACCTCGCTGCTCTGTGTTGTTTCCTCTTTTAGAAAAATAAAAGAGCCGAGCGTCGACAGGCCGTGTCTTTGACTGGATGTTACCTCGCTGGTTCATATTTCCAACCAAATATCTATATTTGTTTTTTCAGGATCAGAATTTTTTGTGTGTGAATAACAAGAATAACAAGAATGCATGAATCCAGCCTACCTGAGTGTTCTTGCTGACCATGTCCGTCTCTTTCAGACCACATCTGCTGATGGCTGCTTCCAGCTGGATAACACACCACTTATTTTAAAACTTTTTCTTTAACACGATCACTTCACTGTGATCAGACGACCTCCACAGTCACCACATAAAACACAAGCCTTTAGGATGTTCTGGAAATCTTCAGTAACATTGGGTATCATGTCAGTTTGGAGTAAAATATCTGAGAAATGTTTCCAGTATATTTTTTTAATCTATGACATGAAGAAGTGAAGCACTTCCAAAAGCAAAAGGGGAGTTCAACTTGATAGTAGAAAGGTGTTCCTAATAAAGTGGCCAGTGAGTATATAACACCATAACTAAATCAATAATATGACCACAAATTGTGGTGGTTGAGCAGGTGACCCACAGTTTACATCTGCTAGTATGACGTTTGCTCCACATCAGACACAAAGCAGCTGCTGCTCATTCACAAAGTGGAGATTTTAAACTTTCAGTGGTGAAAACTCAGAGGTGGAGAGCCTGTTGTTGCACTTTACTGTCAGCAGATGGCAGCATCAACGCATGATTTAATTTCTAACGAGCATTTATGGACCAGCTCCAGTGTCTCATAGCACCAGAGGGTGCTTTAACACAATCAGAATTGAAGAGTTTCATCAGTTCATCAGCTTAGAAGAAACTCCAACACGTTGTACACGAAGGCAGATTATAAATGGAGTTTCCTTCATATCACCAAATGTTGATATGTGTCTATTATTATTAAAATAAGAGTTTGACTTTGGTATGATCTATTAAGAGTCTTCTTATAGAGTTGCTCCGTGTTTTCTCTTCTTTCATTTAAACTTGAGGTTGAACATTTTACTTATAACATAGAGTTAAAAATCATATTTTATCATGAACTCTGATCCATCATGTAGATACAGAAGAAGCTGAGTTCAGCTGTGTCTGAGAATGATTTTGTTCATTAAATCTGATAAAATCAAATATGTCATGTCTGATAAGCAGACGACTCTCAGCTCTGGTGTCAGACATCAAACTGCACAGTAACTAAGATTCGTGTGGGAAAGTGTTCCTGCTGCTTTAAGTCTGTGGCTCACATGAACTTTGTTATCTGTTATCTGAGAACTGAAGTGTGTTTGTGTTCACCACAACAACGTTTCCCATCAGACATCTTTGTGAAATAGTGATGAGATTTGTGGGGACCTGTTTGTTACTGTTCCCCCCTCTCCCCCCAGACCTCATTTGTAGGGACGTAACACAGCCACAGTCAGTTTTTGTCCTCGATGTCAGCTGAAGTTATTTGTGGGTTCTTTTCATCCCACACATTTTTCTGGCAGCCGTGGCTGAATTTTTTTTGGCCTACACTTACTGAGGCTTGGTTTCTACAGAATTCCTAGTTTTCCACTTCATAATTAGAGTTTGGACATTGCTGACTGATGTTTTCACTTGTGGGATATCTTTAACCTCCTACAACCCTGCGTCCACATATGTGGACATCACATTTTGGGTTATTTAGACCAAAATACTCAATTTTGCTCTACAAGGGCCTGATATCCACTTACGAGGACATTATACTGACACTGTTCTATCAAAAATGTAAACAAATATGCTCATATGTGGCTTTCGTTTTTCTTAGAAACAACCATCAGGTAAAAAAGAAAATTTGGTAATTCTTTGTTTTTACATTCATTGGGCCCTAATCAGCCCAAATATCAAAGAGAAATTAAACATGCATGCTGTGGAAGAGTTCAGGTCTTAGGAGGTTAAATATCCTTTTACTGTTTTATAAAGTTAAACTTTCTTCTACAAATTCTCTGATAGTTCTTTTGCGGTCTCTTTGTCTCTGATTTCATCAACGTCAGTGCAAAAAAACATGCAGCGGTCTGTCTGAAGACCAGAACCTCACTGAATTTTGATAACACATACAAACAAGCAACCAAATGGCAGGTAAGGATGGTTACTATAATAGTCATTTAGACCTGTGTGTGTCAACTTGTTTGTTATCATGCCAAAATTTCCAAGGTATGTAAACTTTTGATTGGGGTCATTTGAGTTTTTTCTGATGTCATTATGATTTAAAAAGGTCAAACATAAGAACATGTGAAATAAAAGATTTTGTATTTTCTCTCATAATTCCCAAAGTCACAAATTCTGCCAGGTTATGTAAATTTATAAGTACAGCTGTACCTCCGCTGTCTGCACAGTCCCATGGCAGTAGGTTGAGGGTTCATATCGAGCAGTATGAACCAGTGGCGGCTGGCCCATAGGGGGCGCTCGGGCTCCGCCCCCCCAAATGTGGAGGAGTAAAAATATATATTTTTAAAAAAT